CTCTTTGCTCTTTGCTCTTGATTTGCAACATGTATTTGGCTAAAAGCCCCCAACAATAGCCATGCCACAGCCTCACCATTTGACTGCCTTGAAATTTCCTTTGCCAAATTAATCAGTCTATTGCCCTTAGGATGGCTCAGGCAAAGTCTCTGGGCATGAGCCAAATGCAGAAAAGCTTTTTGCCAAGCCATAGCATGTATCATGGGGAGCCCAACAACCAATGCAGTTCTTCTTCCCAGCAGAAACCTCCCAAGCCTGGTCTTTACCATCAGGCTTTTTATCAGCCTTCTGGCCTCCTGAGCTCTGACCAGAATCTCCTCTAAGAACAACCTAAGCTGCTCCAGCTCTATGCATCCCAGCGACATGCTCGAACCTTTCCAAACTCTGCCCATAAGCCATTTCCAAAGCCTCTCGAAAAACATGGTCAAAGTATACTCACAGCAAACGACCCCGCTACTCAGTACCAAATTCAGTCTTAGTTATTTTTTACTCATCACCAAGACAAAATACCTGATGCCTAAAATTGGGAAAGGAAAGGTTTATTTTTTACAGTTTTTAGAGGTTTCAGTCCATACTCAGTTGGCTCTAAGACAGGGTGGCATACCTGTGTGTTTTTGTGCCTTTTAAAAAATGTTTACTATATTATTAGTTTATATTGTGTGATATTCTATATGTCACAATTATTTGGTCAATAGATTTTTCTTAAGCTTACCTTATTCTATTTCTATTCAATTTTTCTGTGTATAGTTTCTAATTCTATTTTTCTGTTCTTTGATTAATAACAAAATGCTTAAATAATTACCTACTGCTCCACAAGTATAACATTTTTATGTCTTAGGAAATTTTAATAGCAACAGTAATAATTCATAAAGATGCTTTAAATGTACAGAATGCACTTAGCATATAAGATTCTTGGCAATGAACATGTCCTAGGACATACACATACACTTACACATATATATGCCATGACATTCATACAAACAGACATAACATGTACTGTGCACACAGAACATACATATCCAGCTTACATTCTATATTTTGTCTCTTTCAGGAAGGACATCATGCACATTTTGTCTATGCAGTGATTCCCAGTAATTCATAGGAAACAACACCATTAATGATTTAACAAACTGGGAAAAAAACTTGGAGATTTCTAGTAAACTAAATCAATACACAGGTTTGATAATTTGAACATAAAAAACTTTTCCTTCTGTGAAAAGTACAAGCAGAACCATTTGTATTGACAGATGCTTTTTTGCCGACACTGCATCTCAAAGATCAAGACATCCTAGAAATTAGGGTGCTAATTCACCAGCAAATCACAGCAATGTCTTGTAACTAACTACATTATCCCCAAGGTGGTCATGTAGTATATGGTACAGCACCCTCACAACAAAGTCATATTTAACTTAAAATGTTAACAATGACCAAGTTGAGGAACACTGCTATATATTAAGGTTACAAAATACATTTCAGTTAGAGTTTTACATACCCCAGTTTATTAATAAAGCAAGTAGAACATTAGTACATTTATCTGTCAAGAGTCAAATACATACACAAGTAATTTAATCATTGAATCCCTGCAATGTCTCCTACAGATAAAAGCTTTGATCTTCGTCACATAAACCTTGGAGAGTTGATGACTATAGCAGACTTGAAAATAGATTCTGAAATAAGCATGATATGGCTCCACATTCCATTCAACAATGTGATTCATTCGTTCATTCTGTCAGAGGTCGTGCAAAGAGCTTCTGCTTGTAACTGTTACCTTTTCCTTGCTCTCCTCATTCTAGTTATGTTTACTCTGTTTGTTGCTCTTCAGAAACCTGGCTTGGCTGAGTTTGGATTTGGAATTGTCAGTAAAAGAAACAATACCTTTCTGATATTGTTTGAAACAATAGAAACAACTTGTTGCTTTACGGCCAACACAAATGAAGATGGGGCATTCCTGATATCATTTGCAAAACAGCACAAATCTTTAGTTTCACTTACAAGCAAGAGGAGGGAACATTCTCCTGTCTAGCTCCATGCATGAACTCCCGTAAAATGTGCTTGCTTTTTATTTGCTCCTCTGCATGACAGAGAGTGCCATCCAAGAACAAAATCCAAATTTTCTGCACATCAAAGATAATATATGTCAGCCATTAGAGTATTCAGTAGGAATATGAATTCCCAAGGTTTCAATACTATCAATTCCCTTATGATTTTCAGAGTTCTTAATTTAATAAACAAAATAGAAGGGTGTTACAACATTTAAATGAGAGCGCATTTTATTAGGTACCCATTAAATGCCAGGCATTGTTCCTGAAGACATGAAGATTAAAATATACGACCCCTTTCCTGTCATAATAGTGCTTTCATCATCCTAATAATAAACTATGCATTTGAAACTCATAAGCTTTAAACCCTGTTATAAAATTTGGTGTATATATAACACATTAAACTTAGAGGAAACAAAAAGTGCTTTCAGAGAATGAGCAAAGCATTACGGTTTTGGAAAAGGACTGTTTTTATTTACTTTTGCCTTGCAAAGATTCGCCTATTGCTGCCTAAATTCTGTGAAGTGTCTTCATTCCTTGACCAATCATGAAAACACCACCTGCCATCAAAGGAAGGTGCGTGTTCATAATGATACAACACATTTAGAATGCATGTTTTGCCTTACTGTAAGATGTAGCGACAATCCATCTTTAAGTTATGACATATCCAACTACCTTACTATAAACTGATGGAGGAAACAAAATGCAAAATCACATATTGGTACTTTTTTGCTTGGCAGAACCACTGTGTAGTGTGTGAACATGTCTTAACTACTTGGTGGAAATTCTACATATAGGAGCCAAATATCAAGGAAAACTAGTACTTTACTGTGAAATAAAGCAGTTTCTTAAGTGCTTTTGGTTTGCATGTCTGTAACCAGATACCTCAACACTTTATAGGGCTGAGAGTCTAGCAGCTCAGTGGCAGACTTTACCTAGTGTGCTAGGGGTTCAGGGTTTGATCTTAAAATTAAAAAAGAAAAAAGTAATCCTCCATTTTTTTTTTATTTTATCAAACCTGAAGAGACACTTTCTTCATTTATAGTTCCCTGCTAGCTGATGGTTTGGAGTTAGGTGGTGTTATACATAATTATAGTATGGAGAACTGATTGAAGCAATTTTTATTAAAGAGTTTGAAGTACATCAAAGAGAACATATCTTCACTTACAATTTGTCTTCTCCGTATTAACAATAGTAAAATTTCCCAAATAGGTATTATTGCATAATAACGTAAAGTATGTTCTTTGCTTACATGTGTTCACCTGCATGAATTGTTTAAAGAGGAAATAAGCACCTCAATTGATAGATTTTAAAATAGAAGTTTTATTATTCTTTACTAAGGTTATTCTTGTCCTTAGATGTAATTTTCGTATGCTCTGTGAGTAATGGATAGCAATTAAAGGTAGTATCCACCCAGCTCCGTTTCTTCAAAAGTCATTAAGATGGTTTTATTTGTGCTCTGCAGACTGCCTTAGTTTTGCCAGATAGCACCACCTGGTGGAAAAAATATATTTGTTTTCTTCCACTGTTGAAAGATCCTTTTCACTCTCTGTATCTCATTCTGATGTATTTTAATAGATATTCATTTATAAAAATTTACTCTGTATCTAATTCCAATATATCTTAATAGATACTCAATAATAAAAGTTCTGGGGGCTGGGGATTTAGCTCAGTGGCATAAGCGCCTGCCTTGCAAGCAGGCAGTCGTGAGTTCAATCCCTGGTACGATAAAAACAAAAAAGACCAAAAAAACAATAATAATAATAATAATAATAATAATAATAATAAAAGTTCTAAATTGTAAAACTCTCTGTAAAAAATAAGGAGATAGGAGTTATTTGTCAACTACTATTGCCAATGTAAATGCTATGATCTTTTTGCTTAATTAATCAGTAGTAGTTGTACACATTTATTGGGTGTAGTGTGATATTTCCATACATAGATATATGATATATAGTGATCAAATAAGAATTCTTTGTATTTCCATATTCTTATCATTTCTTTATATTTTGAAACCTTAAATGCTTCTCTTCTTGTTCTTTATAAGGCCTATAATAAAATATTGTGAATTAGTCAACCCACTGTGTGGTATAACTCTAGAACTTACTCTTCTTACAATGCTCATGACCTAGTTTCTATGGCCCCCTAATCACGCGCTCTCTTCATGGTCTTGATAATTGCTTTCTACTTTCAGGTTGATACTTTTAGCTTCTACGTATGAAAGTGTACATGTGACATATGTCTCTCTGTGTCTGTAAATACATAATTTTTTAAACTCATGAATATATACAGAAATGAATAGTATTTTACATCTCTATGTAAAAATTGTTGTCCACATTTTAATTATTGTCATATATATTTTTTCTCAAAGAATTAAATAATGCTAAGTTTTCTGTATCAACTATCTCCCCAAAATGCAACTAGTCACTCTATAAATGACTTAATGAAGAATTTTCACACTATGGAATTTAGCATGTTAATACTTCAGGGAAAAATTAATTACTTTTTTTTGAGACAGAATCTCAGTATGTAGTTTAAACTGACCTTGAACTCATTATGTAGCCCAGGTGGGCCTTGAACTCTTGTCTCAGCCTCTCAGGTGCTGTGGTTATAGGCGTGCATCACCACATCTGTCTATCATGCCTTTAAGCCATCTTATGTTTATTTTCTCCCTATAAATAAAATTGAGTTGTGGTATTCTGTGTTTTAGTTCTCAGATTTTAATGATTTTGAATTTTTTCCTGGAAAATAAACTTGATAATATTTTCAAATGAGAAATACAAATATACTTGAAGCCAGTTTTGAGAATTTTATGCATTTGAGTCTTTGTATCATCTCATATTTATGTGAAATATATTTTTGTGAAATAATGTGAAGAAAATAGTGCACCTGAATTCCACTGTGTTCCTGTGTTGCACTTCAAGAATCACAGTCTCTTTTTCCTTCTTGTTCTATTCAAAGGCCTTGGATCTTACACTGTAAATTCAGCTTATGGAGACACCATTATCATGCCTTGTCGACTCGATGTACCTCAGAATCTCATGTTTGGCAAATGGAAATATGTAAGTGTGACCCTTCTGGGATGTAATTAATTGTCTGCAGTTTTCCAAGTTAAATAGCTAAATGTAAAATTTAAAGTGACATAATGATAATATTACTTGGTGGATACAAATGTAAAAAGATAAGATTAATGTATTGAAAACCAGTTTTAAGTAAATCCAATAGACATGCAATTCTTAGACTATGTTTATCTGAAAGATTCATCCTAAAGTGTTAGAGACACAGGAGTAGATAGAATTCCCAAGTATAATCAGAGAAGTACAGGTAGAGGTCTGTGAGGGCAGTGACTTCTTTTTGCTCCTGCTGTGTTGGATCAGGCCACTGGAAAGGCATCAGTAGTCAGAACGATCAGCTAGCTATTCATTGGAAATTAGTCATCAGTATTGCAAGCGTGTTTCTAGTGTTTAGCCTGATAACTTCGTTATGTTCAACATTGCTGAATATTTTGCATATAGCAAAATCATATTTTCTCATGTATTGAGATACAAGTCTGGAGATGGACAATAGAGATCCTACTGGGTAGATGAGGAATGGCTAAGTGGCTTTGCTAAGATGCGTCAGTCACCAAATCAAGAAAATCAACAAAAGGTATCTGTATGCTACAGTTTGCCAATGCAGGAGCTCATGACAGTTTGCAAGTTTTAAGTAGATCTGTCTCCTTGGAAACAATACAAAGTTTCCCCAGCCCCTTACAGTGCTAAAAGGCATCCTTGCAGGGAAAGGGTTTGGGGGTCAAATAATGTATGAAATATTTCTTTACTACATCTCTCAGGGTCCTCTATATGTTAAAATGTAGTATGAATTCTTTGAGGCCATAAGCTGATTAGATTCTCAGGTTTATTTAGCTACATATTTTTTTTTCCTCAAATATCTCTTCAAAAAGATTCTGCGTAGCCTACTATAAGAAATGTGCTGAAGAGTGTTATCAAGGCGTGGTTTGGATGCAACTTTTAAGATGTTGAAATCAGACCAACAGGTTCTACCACATATTCTGTGTGAGATTATAAGCAAGCAATGAACCCCTATTTGCTCACTATAAAAGGATGTCATATCTTTCTCATCCTATTGTTGGTGAAGTGGAATAATTCATAGCAAAATATATACTTAGTTTTGACACATGACAGTTGCTTAAGCAAGTAAACTGTCATGGCCGTGAGCCGTGAAATCCTAGTCACACTGTACCTGTGTTAGAGGCTTATGAAAAGAAGGAAGCATGTGAAGCAGCACCTCATGTGTCTGTGTGGCCTCCTGTTACCCACTTTGCTCTGGCTGATTTGGGGCTGATTCTGATTTTCTGTGGACAAGGATGTATGAAGATAAATCCTATGAGTACAATGTTATTAGCATCCCTTAAATTCCCGGAGTCTCATTGTCTACCACAAGATTTACCCATTGAATCAAAGTCGTTTAAAATTTCTGTGATCAAAGAAAATTCTAAGTATAATCCCTGGAATAATTTTCACCTAAATTGAACTAGCAATATAGAGCTGGGAAATAATAATGGTAAATTTCAAATTGTTCGTTAAGAAAAAAGAAAAATCTCAGCAATAAACTAACGAGAGGTATTGTGTGCCCTACAGTCAGTCCTGATATGCAGAGGTTGTATGCAGGCTCTAATGTAATGTAGCACCTGAGAGAGAAGTGGAGGGATTGAAGGAAGTGAAAGGAAACACGTAGATAATGAGCTAATTTCCCCACCACTGTATACTCTCTGTGAATACAGAACACAGATTCCCCTTCACTCCTCCCTGCTCCATTTCCTGCATCTCTCCATTCCCATCACCAAGGGGCCCCTGCAGGAGAGAGGTCCAGCCAGCCTCACAGCAGTGCAGTTGCTAGCGCAGCGCAGTCCTGCTGGGGCCATGCTGCGGAGCTCATATTTCAGCTTTATCAGCTGCAATCTTGGGAAGTTATCTAACCAGAAGCCACCTCTGTGGTCTAATCTATAAATGAGTTTAATATTGTAACTGTAATTTACAAGGAGGTTGTTAGTGTTAAATCTATTAATTGCTGCATAGGAAACCAAAGAAAGAATCTGCCATTTAATTAAGTGTACAAAAATTACAAACCATTATTTACTGCGTACAAAAGTGAGTATGTATGAATTAACCTATTTCATATAATGAAGGAATTATTTGAGGCAAGGATTTGTATTGTAAACTTGTAACACTAAAAGATTTGGGGGAAATATTGATACATTCAGATATTTAAGAAATGAAAATTCATGAACTCTAAGGTAAACTTGGCAATCAAAATAAACATTTTTAAAAATATAAGTTTCTGTACAATTTTAAAACTTACCATCCATTTTACCTGTTTTATCATTTTATTTTCTCAAAGATCTTGTTAGAGAAACAAGTGGCTCCTATTTTAGGATACATTGTTTATTAGGTAACAGAGGTTTTATTGAACTGAAGGAAGAAATGTATTCTGTGTCTCAGTGTGCCTGGCCAGATTATATCTTATTTTGATAATATGTTTTTATATGAGAGTCATAAAATTAAGTTTTATGAGTCACAAAACAAAACCATGAATTTTAGTGGTTAATCTGATTCTCTTGGTTAATGGGTATGACTGTTTTACAAGGGTAAATGTTGTTCCTTTGTGAAGACTGATTAAATGTTGTCCTGTGTAAAAGTCAGCTCCATTGGTTCTGGTTGAAAGATGTGCATATTCAAAGTATGTTAAAGTGAAAAATATGTCAAAAATAACTAGCCACAATGTCTTAACCCAGTATATGCAGCTCAAGTGTATGCTTTCTATGGTTATCTGAACATCATGTTGTATACTTATATTTACTTAGCTATTCTTTATTTCATCTTAAATATATGGCTGTCCCTTTTCTATTTCAAGTAGTCATTAATTCTGTGCTCCACATTAAATGGAAGCTGAGATTCTAGAAATTCTGTTCTTTCATTTTCACACATTTAATATGGTATCTGTAACAGAGCCCATAGCCTCCCTTCTTGGGAAGAGTCATTTTCTGGAACTAAAGATTTACATAAGGTTTATTATATCCAGAATCCTTCTTGAATAAAATACATGTTTTTGGATGAATATGACTAAAGAAATTTTTGTTATTCTGAATATAGTCCTGAATCATCTGAATATGTTTGCTTTTAAAATACATTATTATTTTAATTTTCAGGAAAATCCTGATGGCTCCCCACTATTTATTGCCTTCAGATCCTCCACAAAGAAAAGTGTGTATTATGATGATGTACCAGAGTACAAAGACAGATTGAGTCTCTCAGAAAACTACACTCTATCTATCAGTAATGCAAAGATCAGTGATCAAAAGAGATTTGTGTGCATGCTAGTAACCGAGGACAACGTGTTTGAGGCACCAACGATAGTCAACGTGTTCAGTAAGTAGTCCGCGGTCTAACTGCGAAGTGAGATCGATGGCTGGTGCTGGGACATATTTCGTAGAAAGAAGACTGTGTTCTCTGTAATGTCTCTAGAACAGGCATCTCTGCAAAGAGGCTTTCTAGAGATTGTTCTGTCAGGCATGCTGCCAGCAAGAAAAACACCTGAAATTCAAGTAAGATGTTTGCAGTTGATTTGTCACCTACCATTTACGGAGATATAAAGTACTACTTGTGATAACATATGGTCTCTTAATGTTCAGTGATATGTGCAAAAAAATGTTCTGTGGTATACATATGGACATGACACATATATAACCATGCTTGGCATATGTGTGGGTGTATTTACCTGAACCAAAAAAGGCCATTTTGATTATTAGGGTAGTAAAATACAGAAATTATCTGATGACTAAGATCTAAACTTGAAATTTATATTTAATCTATAATTTTTATTTTATAAATTTTTAATTTTGAACTTTTAATTCATATTAATATGTGTGTATATATCCACACTTTTCGTACTTTTTGATACAGACTTCAAAGTGTTCTCTTGGTTTACAAAATTATTCTTAATGAAGAAGCTCACCACACACTGATTGTGTGATATGAATGTACCATGGAGAGAAAGTACAGTGTGACGGAAGGGAAAAATATCATGACATTTGTTACAATGGGAGATGCAGCAATTCTAGCTACCTGGGAGACTGAGGCAGATTCAGGGATTCTAAGCAATATAGATAGATTCTGTCTCATAAAATAAGAAGGATTTAAAAAGAAGAGTGAAAGAAAAAAAGAAAATAGAAAAAAATCACTAGAGAAAGTTGAAATTATTGTAGCCACTGTGACAAAGTTACTCCACCTAATAGTGATATATAGTTAATATTAATTTGCAGATAGCTTTGCAAATGAATGAGTAGTTGTAATTGAAGCATTTCATCTTCAAACTCCAATAAAATGTCCCACCTGAGTTACATTACAATGCTTTAGAAGGAAAAATAAGCATCAAAAGTTTCAGAATGCGAAGCTTTTTTAATTAGGCAAAAAATACTGCAATTTCCAGATTTTCCCTTGTGCTTTCTGATATCCTGACAGCACCTAAAATTTCTTAACATCAACAATGAAGAAAAAAAAACCTAGAAGGCCTCAACTACAGCAAGTAGCCAAGGATTTTTTTTTTTCTGTTCCACTTGTAATAACCTATGCAATTATGTCCCTTAGTATTTATAGAGACTTCAAAGCTCCTATGGATTCATGATGTGGATTTAAGGAGAGCTGTACTAGCAAGGGAAACCTTTCTTCTCCAGAAGAACCTCATAAAAGCATGTTACATGTTTCATTTGATTACCTTTCAGCTTAGAAAACATTTTCCAGAAATCATCCACATATCTCAGTCATTTTATGAATCAAATGAAGGTCCAATTGTTTGCCAGTCATGCCTGCTTCCATGAAACATGTCTGATAAATTGGCATTCTGTATTTACCAGGGACCCGTGTATTGTTTACTGTGTTTTCTTTTTTTCACTTTTATGCAATTAGAAAAATTGATGATGTACTGCTTGGGATACTGTTTCTAAAAAGAGCCAAAAATATCTCTACTTTTTAAATTATAGACCATCATCTCATAAATATAACCAGGTATCAAGAATGTACCATAGTAAACAGAGAAACTTGAGTTACAGCCCTGATTTAATCAGATATAATAATTTGTCATGCCTTGATTTCTTTTACACTGTGTTAAAATTATTGAATATCAACCAATAGTATACAATGAAGTTGAGAAATACAAGTTTTTACATTTAGAAGTATTTGTTGCATTTTCAAAATTTATTTTTTAAAAATGCCATAACTAAATCTGCAAAAAAAAAAATTCAGTGGTGTCTTTCAATAAAATCTGTGAGTCATTTTATAACACAAAAGATTCCTATGATTGTGAAAACAAATTCACACTGCATGTACTGCCAGTACCCTTGCCCCCTTTTCTTTTGGAAGTTGCTGAAAACAAAGTGATTCTCAGAAGTAGAATTTGCATTCCAGGCTGTGGGCCAGGCAGAATTTACATAGTCAAATTATATGCCCTTGAAAATGGTATTTTATACTAGAAACCATGAGACCCTCCAGATCCCGTGAAACAAGAACCACAGTTTATGCTGCAGTGTTTACAAGACTATATAGGAGCTTTGCTTTGTTGTTGTTGTTTTTTTTTTTTTGTTTTTGTTTTTTTTTTTAAATAATGAATTTACTTTTGGTCACTTTTTGTGAATCAAACAGCAGCTGTGGCAGGGAGGCTGTCATTATGTGTGTGTATATATTGCAGTCTCTTAACAGTTACCAGGCTCATCAATCAGTCCTCTGTTTGCCTCTGTTGAATCACCTAGCAACGTGCACCATCTACCACAGAATGGAGAGTTGCTCTTGTGAGCCAGTCCCATATCAGCCTGGACTACATTGCCCTCCTCACAGGCAAAGTCAATTTTTTTTTTTAATTCAAACTGAAGTGTGTGACCACTTGCTTTATCTATAATATAGATTTGTTTGTTTGATGTTAAGCAATACCTCAGACATAAGAAATCAAACGCAAAAGCCACCAGATCCAGATAGCATCCTGTCACCCCTTATCAGCTTTAAAAAAAAAAAAAAATAGTTGAATGTCATCAAAGTTGAACTACATTTGCATTTAGTGCACACTTGGGATTAGTAAAATCATTAAGATGCAAAAGTAGACCTTGAAAAGCTCCCAGAAATTATTCTAGTGATTATGCAAAAGGCTCAGAGGTCAGATGGTTGCCCAGAGAACTAACCAGTTGTTGGTGATGAAATGGAAAAATTACTGAACTGGTTACCTGACTTTGCTGTGTTGGAGATGCTACTAATTTCTGATCTTGGGAACATTTCTTCAACAGTCTCGAGTTAAACTGACCTCCAAAACAAAATGAATGCTTTAGAATAGATGGGATTTTTTTTCATTGTTTCTGGGATGCTCTTAGGCAGCTAATGATGAGAGTTTGAGAAGAGAAGCTGTCTCTGTTCAATTAGCTACAATTTCATCTTTTAAATTTTCAATTATTTATAATAAGTTATTTATAAATTAAAAGTAGTCCCAGCAAGGTAGACAGGTGACTATGCCAGCTTGGACAACATAGTGAGTCCTCAGCTAAAAAAGGGGACAGCTCTGAAGAAGCCACAGGTCACAACCCATGCTGATGTGCAAGCTTCCTCTACTCCAGTGGTGGTCTGTGGTGTTGAAGGAGAACTGTTCCCATGGCGTGGTTTGATGTATTGGTGGTCTAGTGCTTCTCATGGTGCTCCTTGGTTTCATGGTTACTTCAAAGCTTTTTATCTGGAATGGGTTCATTTCGGTGCTTCTCTTCCCTGCTCTATCAGAACTGAAAAGCCCTTCTCAATTGGAGAAAGTTCAGGGAAGTTCAGTCAAGCTGAAAATAATACTTTAGCTAGGAAAGGAACATAAAATGACCTGTGTAATAAATAAAGCAAATTTTATATTTTGGTTCAGTTCTTCCACTATATAAAATATTTCCCACTTAATGAGGAAAATACAGCATGATTCCAGGAATATAGTTATTTACTTAAAATAACCTGTTTGTGAGGGTTGACTGCTAACGAGACCTAAGAGAATCTTTAAGTCAGGCAAACTACGCATCCACCTGTTTTTTGTTTGTTTGGTTGGTTGGTTGTTTTTTTTGTTTTTTGTTTTTTTTTTTTTTTTTTTTTTTTTTTGCTCTGCTCCCATGTCAAACTAAATTCTCTTGTTTTTTTTTGAGAGTATCACTAGTATACTACAGGTGAAACACAGCAGTTTTGTATTCATCACTATATTTTCACTTCACTTTGAAATAACTAGATGCCAAAAATTATAAATATTACTAAGTTATTGATGTCTAGTTTTTCTAAAGGCTAATGTTCATAGTGTTCATTAGCAGTAGTTGTGTTTTGAAGCACAATGAGATCATCTAATTGAGTATATTTATTCTTGATCAATCTTCCATCTCCTTACCACAGTTTCCTTCTTCTCTAGCGAAGTACTCACTTGTGCAATTTCTCTTTCCCGATACAAAACAGAAAAAAATAGAAGGAAAGTAAGGCTTCTATTTGTGAAATGTTTCAAATTGTACTAGGTAGTAGATGTAGCTTGTTCAATTCCTAGTACCCCCTTGGGTAGTTTAGCTTTTAACTCTTTGCGATAAGATTTCAAAGGATCTTAGTGAAAAACTTGTGATCTGGTTTTAAAAGAAATAATTTGACTCTTAGTATCTTATACCATTTCTGTACCTCTGGTGCTGATCAGAATGTTAGCCGCCTGCCCCTCCTCCGACACCCAGGTTCATTCTCATGCATCTGTATTCATTCTCTGTCTTCCTCTCCCCCATCCTCTCTTCCTCTCTTCCTTTCATGTCTCTGCATACCAGCTTCTATCACTCTCCCTGGCTTTTTCTCCCTCTGCCAATATCTCCTTTCTTTCGCTCCCTCACTATAAAGACTGTACTATCAAATGGTCCTGTGATAATAATATAACTGCCAATTAAGTAGACATAGTCAAGTCAACATAGAAGAAAATGAACCAAAGCATGGTTATACCATGTGATAAATGGTTGAGTTGAGTGATTTTTACAGAATTTACCCATGCATGTTTAGAAGCGAAATTTAGCTTATTTTTAAATTAGTACTGTTGACTAAATTGCTTTAATAATGCAAGCAAATTTGCAGCATTGCTTTTTCTTTTGATTTTATCGTTGTTTATGAATTTTTGAATCATATTAAGATGTAATTCATATGAAGTTTTTTTTAAAAAACACTAAAATCAATATGCAATTTTGCTAAAATAGTATGTGTCCTCTTTTATAGTCCTCCAACTAATATCCATCGATTGTTACAATATAAGAGAAAATTACATACAAAAATGAGGTTAATATAGAAGGCTTGAAACAAAAATTTAAAAAGAAAGTAACTCAAGAAAATGCACACATTATTACCATTATTTTTACGGTGCTTAATATGACTCTCTTCCAAAGAGAAAGATAAATACAACAGAGAACAAAACATTAAATATTTTCCATAAGACTTTTTGCAAATTTGCTACAATTGTGTTCTATTAAAATAGAAAAGAATTTTAAGAAGTAAATAGGTGGGAAAAGTATGCATTACACATGGAAAGAACCAAGGCTTAAACACAAGAAATTGTGATTCTGTGTATATTGATACAATATCACAGTGTTACAGAAAAAAGCAAAGTACGCACTCTGTCTAGAAAGAGGAAGTATTATCCAAATGTCTTCATATTTTACTTTGGTCAAAAATAGTAAAAGTTGGCAAAACTGCCCACTAAATCTTTGTACTTAGATCTAAGCTTATGGGGCATGTCAAACTCTCCACGTTTTCCAGCAAAACACTGCAAAGGGACAAATTAAAATTATTTGTCTTCTTGTCACTTTCCATTCTCATTTGAAAAGATCAGTTCCTATGTGTCTTCCGCTTCCTAAGAGGTATCACTAGAAAATTGATGTTAATGCCCAATTTGGCTTACTTATGTATTCTTGATTCATTCTTCTCTCATACATATTAGATATTTATCTCTCAAATATGTATTTCAAACAATTCAAAGTTTTATCAATAATTTTTAATTTTTAAAATGTTCCATTCAGAAGTGATAACATCAATGTACAAAAAAAGGCTTTAAGCTTCCTTCACACCATGTATTTCCTGAAAACTGGTATCTATTGTTAGTGAATTTTGTTTTATAATATTGTATTTACATTTCTTCAAATCATTTAATCAGGGGTCACTTCTTTCTATCTGTTGTTTCTGTTGTGTCTTTCTATTTCTTTACACTCTATTTTTCTGTCTTATGGTTTGTTTTAGATTGGTGTATTTGGAAACTAGATAGTCATCACTCTAAAGACCATTACTGAAAGTGTAGTTCAAGAATTAATAGTAAATAGAACTTTTAATTAAAGTGCATGAGTGTACTGTATTGGCAGATTTATTGTATTAGTTACTCTAATTTATAATATAAAACCTACAAGGGGAAAATTAACTCTAATATTCACCTGGACATGATTGTATTTTTGTCAGTATAACGATACACATTTTACCACTTAAGAGATTTTTTTTTTACTGTTTGTCCTTGATAGCTATAATAGTCTGAGTATGTAACATATCTGGTAACTGAATTCCAACTTGAATAATAATTATACAAAAGCCAATTTAGTTCAGTTGGCATTGTTAATCAAAGTATAAAGTATTGGAGATGGAAAGATGAAATTATGAAAGGAAAATAGCTGATTTTTCCTATTTGTATAAATGAGGATAGAATAATTGTGTTCAGTGAGGTACAAATATTAGTAGCAATGAAACAGTTTACACTTTCTGTAAATGAATAGTTGGAGCCATTCAAAATGTACAGAATGCATCAATGATAGAACATGATCAGATGAGAATAAAATAATTTAAAATTAGTTTGAACAAGAATTTTTTTTGAGCAAGAAATTGTTGCTGGAATTTTTACTCTTTCCTAAAACCTCTATTAGTATTTGTTTATAGACCTTTCTATATATTTGTGTCTCTCATTTCATACTGCAGATTTCAAGTATTTTCACATAGCTTCGTAGTGACTTGAATTAAAAGATAAAGTTTCATATATTTAAGAAATTTAGGCTTCTACATCCTTAACTAGTTTTACCATTATTTAACAGAAAAGTTTGTTACTTCATTGTGCCCAAGAATCCTCCAGGAACTTATTTAAAATGTAGATTTGTAACATTTCCCCTGAGATACTAATTCTGAGACTCAGAAATGTGCACTTAAAGTAAATGCCTCTGATAGTGATTCACATGAATTAGCATCTTTACATAATGAATTGGAGATTATCAAAAGTAGAAATTGCCCACTATCCTATTTATACATTAGCTTCTGTTCCACTATTAATTCCATATTTACTGCTTGTAAAACATGAGGAAGAATTAAGGATATTTTATTCAAACAATGTATATACACTTAAAACAATATTTAAAATAGTACAAAAATAGTACAGCAGATGTTTTGGAGGGACAAGACCTACTCAGGTTTTTTTTTTTTTTTTTTTTAATTTAGAAAAAAAAAAGCAAAGCAGAAAAATGTTAGAAATAATACAGAATTTTTAAAAATAACAGTAAGAAGTCACTAGTTGATAAATTATATATTGTTATCTTAGTGGTTTTCAAGTTACAAAATCAAAGCATAAAAAGTAGACAAACAAGGGGCTGGGGATTTAGGTCAGCAGTATAAGTGCCTGTTTTGCAAGCACATGGTCATGAGTTCGATCCCTGGTACTGATAAAAAAAAAAAAAAGTAGACAAACAATGACAGTACAAAATATTCTGTTTGATAAATTAACAAAAATTTAGTAGTATGGTTATCTATCTTGCACACTTAAACATATATACAGTTGTATCCTTTAGAGCACTTTCTTTCCCTTTCATTATTACAATATCTATTATACATTTTGGATCTTATTATTCTTTCAGGTTTTTATTATTTTTTATACTAGAGAGACGATTCTGATGTACATTCTTCTGCTCTGAGTATATGTATTACTTTTGTGTAAACCAAGTCACTAGCATCATTTTTTCTTCCATGTATGCATAAAACCTTTTTCTGCTTGACTTTAGAGCAACCATCGAAACCTGAAATTGTAAGCAAAGCACCCTTTCTTGAAACAGAGCAACTAAAAAAGGTGAGAACTTATCTCAGTTAACTGCTTTTACTTAGCCTGATGTGTAGTGCCTTTTCCTTCTGTGGATAGCAGAACAAATGAAACAGACTTTGTTCTTGTGGAAGTGACAGTGTTACAGCTGCCAATCAAAAACTACGCAGAAGGCATGGGAGGCAGGGGAATAACTTGTCTAATGTCCTTTGTGCCACGGGGACATGAATAAAGCCGTGGTCACTTCTGATAAGAGGAGTCTTTCTTACTTGTTTAATGAAGTCAATTAAAAATGAGTTTATCTTTAAGAAAATATTAGAAAATGCTCTTCAACAATATTTTAAAAAATGAGATGTGAGGGTAAGGGATTTAGCTCAGTGGCTCAAGTGCTTCCCTGGTAAGCATGAGGTCATGAGTTTGATCCCTGGTACAAAAAAAAAAAAAAAAACGAGAGAGATGTAAGAGAAAATGTCATGTCTGGGAATAAGTAAATAAATAAATTGAATATATAAATTTAAATAAAATAGGTGTAAAATAAATTTTCCTTCATCTGTATTGGGTAAGGAAGGTCATTTCCTTTGAATCAGGTGAAATTTTACTGAGTAATATTTGGTAAACATGCAATATTAAACTTGTAGAAAGAGGTGGCCATTATTGAGCATAGTAAGTGTATATAATCTGAATTATTTGTGGTGTAAAACTGAAGATGTATGAACTGCAGTAAGAGTCATTGTTAATGTAATTACATTATATTCTTTGGTTAATGTTACAAATTTAATATTGCCTTGTTTATTTGTCTGTTTATTTTAAAGAGTGGGAAATTTTATTGCTGAATAGGAACGGAGAGTGAGGAATAGAAATAGATCCTTAAAGACAAGAGGAGTTCTGAATGGGCTGCTCAGTAATGACTTTAAGTGAATGTGATTTGGTTAATTGTAAGGTATCTACCATATATTTAAAGTTGGCAATTTTTTTTTTTTTTTTGTCTTTTTCCTTTTTATCGGTACCAGGGATCGAACTCACGACTGCCTGCTTGCAAGGCAGGCGCTTATGCCCCTGAGCCAAACCTCCAGCCCCTAAAATTATTTTTATATTTTTTGTTTACAAGAGAATATGTATCCCGTTCCTAGTTAGCATTGGAGAATAAATGAGTCAAAGCACTCCACTTTTCCTGAATAGTCTGGGGCTTCCAGATTGACTGCCTGTTTTGAAACAAGGAAATATTATTTCTTTTGTTTTGCAGTTGGGTGACTGCATTTCAAAAGACAGTTACCCTGTTGGCAACATCACATGGTACAGAAATGGAAAACCGCTTCAGGCCCTCGAGGGAGGTAGGTGTGAGCTGGCAATAAACTCTGGTGGCTGTTGTGTTGTTCTCTTCTCCAGGGATTCTTTAGACTGTCCACATCCAAACATGTACTGCCCTTTTTGTTACTGATTCTATGCTTTTGTACTTTAAATAGTCACTAATTCAATAAGTGATTTTTTAAAAGTAGCATTTTGACTCTTGCGTGAATAATCAGGAGCAGAGAAAATAACTTCTGTAGGTGATATGTTCTAGAAGTTAAAGAAAATGAGTGGGAGAAAGCATTCCATGATTCTATTTTTGTGTAAGTCTCTGATTCATGGTTCTAAGAAGACATCCTACTTCGCTGCATGTCAGTTTTCTTTCCTGTTAAATATAATTAGATGGACAAAATCACTTCTGAAAGGTGTTAAGGTATTCGGCTAAGGTTTGCACGTTTTCAGAGTCTTATCATGACTGATTTTGCTTTGTCTTTTCCTTCAGTGGTGGTCATAAATTTTAAAAAGGAAATGGATCCAGTTACTCAATTATACACCATGACATCATCTTTGGACTATAAGACAACCAAGGCTGATATACAAATGCCGTTTACCTGCTCTGTGACATACTATGGAACATCCGGCCAGAAAACACTTCATTCAGAGCAAGCAGTTTTTGACATTTACTGTAAGTAACTCTATTATAATTATGTAATTTTAGTGTATTAGAAATAACATGAGAATACTACTAATCTTTGAAGTCCCAATCCAATTAGTTTTGGATTTTCCTTCTAGCATTCTCCCATATCCACAGTATCCAAATAAAATCTCCCTCGAAGTCCTACAGAATAATTCTTACTCCTAATATCTTTCACTTTTTACTATATTATTTATGAGCAGCATCTCTTCCGTATTCTGTTACATGCTAGGTTCCTTTAAAATACAATCTGTAACTTGGTCAGTCTACAGCCCATGAATTATGTAGAAACTCAAAATGCCTTCTGACTATTTTCTGAATAAATGATAAATACAATCTTATGGTTGACTAGCTTTCCAAGTACAGAATTAGTATAGTGCTTTAATTAAGAAATTAATTTCAGTAATGAGATCAGTTGCTTAAATTTAGATAGGACATTGTATTTTAAAATATTTTGGTCAACTAAATCATAAATTTGAAGCACAGAATCACGTATTCTTTATTTTATTTAGCAGAGAAGTTAGCCATAGAGATATACCCTATACCTGCAGTAAAGATTACTTAGTCCTGGAGATTTTTCAAGAAAATGGAATAAAAGATTTCATTATTGTTGTTATTGTGATGATTATTATTACTTACAATGAATAAAACTAAATTGTGATACTGCCATCTGTCCCAGAGTAATCTAGCACTTGTCCACTTATTTTCAGTAAGTGCAACAATACCAGCTGAGTCTTTAGAGTTTTTACCTCATCTTCATGTCTGTTTGGCTTCCCTGAGGCCCAGAGTTTCTGTAAGAATAAAACTGAAACTCAACTTACCATAACTTAAAAAGATTATCTTAAAGTAGGAAAATAAGTTTTAACTTGATTAAAAAGCAAAAAATAGTGTAATCCATCATGTGTAACTTATCTGAAATCAAAGTATTGTTTCTATAGGGAAAGGCAGAGTCCTTTCTTTTCAAAATTTACTTTTAATTTCTCTTGTTATACAAATATATGAGGTATTCTGTGATAATTCAGTACATGGACACAGTTTATGATGTTCAAAACATGTAGTTAATATTTTATGTTCTTAGATTTAAAAAAATTTAATTAACATGTAATTGTACATATTCATGGGGTCTGATGTTATTTAAATACATGTTTACAATGTGCACAAGTTAAAACAGAGTTATTAGCATTTTTTTCTTAATACTGTGCTTTTGGAGCATTTGAGTGTCCCTTCTAGTTACATTTACATAAACCAACTTGGTATAAGTACAAAGTACAGAGAGGTACAAAGTAGGAGAGAGTATCAAACCAAGGAAAGAGACTTGGGAAGTTGGCTTTAAAAAGAACAGGAAACTATGTAGTTGCCAGGCATGCAGAGCCAGATAAGCAGAAAAGAAAATGCTAAAAAGAAATAATATTTACATTGGCTGGCTGCGCGGGCTTCATGTGGGATGTCTTAAGAGAAGACAATGGATGCAGTGCTAGATTTCCCAGCAAAGACACAAAAGGGTTCAGGATAAGGTCTTGACATTCAAGGACTTTCCTGTTGCAACAGAGAAAGATGACACTTTTTCAGAAAGACATTGTCAGTGCAAGTTTACAAGTGATAAACATTATTGAAACTCAGTGCTGAGTTCTGAAAGCTCCAGCATCTACAGACAGTGACTTCAGACTCTTCCTGCTTATCAGAAGAACCTGAAGTCCTTGTTAGAACATGAACTTCTGGACCCCCTCACAAGTTTCTGATCCAGTAGGTGTGAGAAGATACTTGACACTTTGAATTTATAACAAATTCCCTAGTGGTACTAATGAACCTGAGTAGAGAACCACTGTCCTAAGAGAAGACTTCGGAGAAGAAAGAAACCTAAATGAAAGAAAATGAAAGTTGATTAATTTACAAAAGATGCACTAGTGCAGTCCTTCCTTGTCTTGTTCAGTCAGTAGTGAAGTTGCAGAGATGTGTGCTCTTTAATGCATATTTTACCTTATTTCTGCCTTTGGGCAATGCCTAAATTTATGTCACCATTCTTCATTGATTCTGTTTCTGCAATAATTTCCAAGATAGTATTCTCCCTGCCTGCCCACTCCAGACAAGCTGCCCTCTGAACTGCTGCTAGAAATATCTTTTTAAAACACAAATGCAGGAGTGTTACTCTGTGATTAAAGTTCTTTAATGACTCTCCAGAGCTCTCAGATAAATCTTCACACTCTCGGTTGCTGTATATCTTGAGTCTCTTGTGGCCCGAGTCTTGTACTCTCAGCCTCTCTCACTGCAATCTACCACTGTGGTCTGTCCTGTTTTCCAATTTCCTCAGAAAGACTGCTCCTTATATGCCTGTCAATATGCTGTGGTTGGCTTGTTTTCATCTTTTAACAGATACCTACTTGTTATTTAATACCCATCTCCAGAGTAAATTCCTTCTGGATACTTCTTAATCTCATATGTCTAGGAGTCTGATGCTCACATCAAAGACAAATGTCAAACTCTTAATTCTTAATTCACATTCTCATAAACAGAATAAAAGTTCATTGAGATGAATATGCCTTTTTAGACTTGATAATTCTAGTATTTAGGACTTGTGCAAAATAAATGCTGAACAAATGAATTAATGTTGAATGATAGATAAATGAGAGGAATGAATTTGAGGAGGTTCTTGGTTATTACATATAGAGTTCATGTAAAATAGTAACATATGAGTCTTTTAGCTAGATTCAGGTGAAACTGTGGATAGCAGTTTAAGTAACATTTTCCTCGAAGGATTTTGAATATTCAAAGTGCTACTTCAGAAACTGATTCAGAGCAAATAGCTACTAAGAAAATGAGAAAGGCTCAAGCTGAGGGACCAAATGAAATCTGATGCCAGTGGTTCAGGTGTAGGTTAACTGGAGTATAGACTAAGAAAGTTTTAGTGGGAATAGAAGGGGAGAATCTGATGCAAACTGTATCATGAAAGATACTCATTGAGACTTGGCGATTGAATGAATAAGGAGGGAAGAGGAGAAAAGCCAGAGTGATAGAAAGAATATTGACTTACTAATGGACAGAATCGGGGCAGAGGGAACACAAGAGATCATTATTTTGTTGTAGACATGTTAGTAGGCATCTAGGAAGTTACTGTAGAAATTAAAATGTGTTACAGTGACTAATGCAGAACAGAACCTATTAAAACTGGAACATAGAGATGAACCATTGGAAAAAAGAGGAGAGTGTCAAGCCTGTTGTAATCCATGGTTTTTCCGTGTCAGCCTTGATCAGAGATGTGCCACAGCGACGTGATACTGGCTAAACCTTGGTAATGGCCAAAGATAGGCCAGCTCAAAGAGTAAGAGACCTGAAAAAGGAGGTCATTTGAATGTCACTAAAAACAAAACAAAACAAAAACTGTACCCACTTTTCTACTTACAGCAAAGCAGAGAAGTAGCAAAGTAGCACGTGACAAGCAGCAAGCAGTCACAGCATCCCTCGTCTGTCCCTGCTATTCCTCCATAGGGCAGAGCACTCGCACTGAGAGTGGGCCTTCCCGTTATCCACTCCCAGACTACACCAAAGCAATCAGGAGACTAATTTAATAATCATACAGCCGTGATGCCAGCTTCACACACTTAATCCCAGTATCACACATTGTAGATCCAGGCACATCTGAAAACTCCACCCATGACGGCATGAAGTTTTGGGGGGACATCTAGACGCAGCCATGACACCACCTAATAACAAGAGAAGTCTTTAATGGCACCACCTTGAAAATATAGACCCATATCTCAGTAGTTATCAATTTTTCTGCGGAAGGATCCTTACAACCTTAGATTATATGGTTTTGAAGTTCATTGTTGGTTGCATTATTCGGCTATCTAACAAATGAATAAATGAGAAGTTATTTATTATTGCTACTACTACTTCCTTTTATTTCCTGTTTGCTAGATATAATCCCAGTGTGTTAAGCCTTGAATTTATCTAGCATTCTATTGTTGAGCAGTAGCCTGTACTAAAGAATACTCTTTGGCCCTATTTTCTCCGCAAAATTACCAAAATGGACTGTAAGTTGCATCTTGGCTCCAATGAACAGGACAGAATTACAGTACATTTACAGTCTTGTTGATTATTTTAAGACTCATTCTTACTTTGTAGGACTCATTGTTTTAAAAGCAGATCTGCTCCCCGGCATAGCAGAATCCTTGGTGGTGGTGTTTAGCTCATTTTCCCCCTTTTACTTAATCCAAGGTATTATTATGTTATTGAGTGGGCAGTACATAAATAACTTCAGGAAATTTGCTAGCTGATTTTAGTCCTTCCAAACTATAAGATTCACATAACATAGTTAAATTTCTATGTAATGAAGTCATACAGTGAGATAATTATTCCTACTGGTCTTTTACACATAAAATAGTTACAGTTATTCCTACCTCAGTTTAAGACATTTTTGTAAGAAGAAATTGATTTTTATATAAGAGAGTCTCTTTGTAGTTTGCTCTAGCTAAGATTAGTACTTGGTAGAGCAAGTGGCTATTAACTTCAATCGTTCTATAAAAAGATACACTTAAGTAATTACCATTACTAGCTTCTTGAGAAAATTGTGTATAATTTAGTCATTTGCATTGTATGCACAGTAATTTGTTACTTGACAAAAATGTTAACTTGTGTCTGTGACTCTTACAGATCCTACAGAGCAAGTGACAATACAAGTGTTACCACCAAAAAATGCCATCAAAGAAGGAGACAACATCACTCTTAAATGCTTGGGAAATGGTAACCCTCCTCCTGAGGAATTTTTGTTTTACTTACCAGTAAGTGCTGAAGCATACTTAAGCTTAACTATTTTCATTGTGTCCTGTGGTTGGGCCTCTATCTGGTACTCAGAACTGCTTGTACGTGGGTATCTTAAGAAACAGTGCTATCCTTGGGAATACAGACAGCCACCTAATAATGTCTTTTGTTTGTATGATACCTGCCAGTGTTTTGGCCTTGCTTCTCAGTCTTGAGAGATTTCAGACACAAAGAGAAAATAAAAGCAGAAAACATAAACCATAATTGCAAAGACTCAAGGTATTATTATTATTCACATAAGCTATAAAAATTTGCTGTTAGAACTGGATAACCATAAAATGAAAAAAGCAGACAGAAAATAGTCTGAGGTGGATTCTAAATCTACCCATGGTGTGACCCTGAACATAGCTCTCATCTTCTGAAGGATAGTTCTGATGCACATTATATTTGGCTTGTTAGAGTAATGCTGCATGTGGGCTTTCTTTCCATGTGTAATTATAAAGTCTAATTTCTTCAAGTTTTATCCATATCATAGTTGAAGAAAAGATATGCATACAAGGCTCATAGGAAAAGTCCTCTAGGGTACCAGAGTAGTATGAAGCCAGACTGGGAAAGGGCTCCGTGAGGGTACCTCACTCCGCCACAGCTTTGTTTGCTGTCACATTTGCATAGAGGGAAGCCATGTGTTCCTTGGCACTGCATTTCTGTGGGGATGTGCTGACAGGTTTATCCCCTGCACTGCTTAGCAGTATTTAAGAATAACATTCACTGCATTTCTCATGGTATAAATGATCTTGTGTACGTAAATGTTCATATAAAATGTGGTTCCACCTATTAAATTGACAAGTTATCTATGTCTCACTTGCAAACAGAAATGTTGATGCTAACTAGCTTTCTGCTTAGGCTATCTGGGATGGCAGAGCCAAATGTATGTCTCAGCTTTACCAACAATATCTGCTGATTACCTTTTTGTTAACGTAATCCTATTATCGTTTTACCTATTCTTGATTTGCTTTCTTTTCTTTATCTTTCCTTTTTCTCTATTTATTTTTTTCTTTTTCTGTCCTTTGTTCACTCCTTACTCTTTCCTTCTTTCCTTTATTTTTATTTAGATATATAGCTTTTTTTGTTAAACTAGATAAGACATAAAAATGAGATATTGGACTTTTTAAAATATCTGTTTTAAAACTAAAACACACTAGGCTTTCAGTGAAATACTTGTTATCAATAAAATATCAGTTCTTCAAAAATTTGTTATAATCAAAACATTACATTTTTTCTCTGGGAATCATATGTTGGTACTTTTTGTACAAACTGTACAAAATTTTTGTCTAAAGAGTCACATTCATTTTTCTTCTTTATCTGAGAAAATGCCATCTTCATCAAGAAATATAACTGTTCTCATTGTAGCTACCAAGTATAATCATTTGACATTTTGCTTCTGTCAAAAGGGACAGCCTGAAGGAATAAGAAGCTCAAATACTTACACACTGACAGATGTGAGGCGCAATGCAACAGGAGAATACAAATGCTCCCTGGTAGACAAAAAAAGCATGATTGCTTCAACAGCCATCACAGTTCACTGTGAGTCACCTTCTTCATTACCAGCCTCCCTTCAAAGGCCTCAAATAGTACAATGTGACTATCTTTTCAAAGAAATCACGGCTAGTGTATTTATTAAGTAACTTGGCTTCATTAGAATCGGTAGAGGGCATCAAAATTAAGTTCAGCTTACCCTTTAGTGTTGGACACTTGGTTGGGTCTGGTAGCTGCATCTTTGCAGAGTTTAACTTCTATCTGCTTTCTTGATATCTTCAGTTCATTGAATCAATAAGTAATATTTATGTCACCATTAAAGAAATTGATTGTATATTTTAAGAAAGTGTTGAGTTTGAACCCATGGCCACGTGCATGCTAGGCAAAAACTCTTTAAGACTAAGGTACACTACCACCCTCTATTTAGATATTCTTGAGGTTCACAGTTGGCCTGGAGTGATGTAGTTGTAAATAAAGTATCTTTTTTTTAATTACAGAATAATTTTAGCATACAAACCCAAGCAATGCAAAGTTATAAATTACAGATTCAGCTATTGTAAGAAGAAAAAGTGGTATCTGAAAGCCTTTATTGGCTGAATTTGCTTCATATAGAAGGATAATGAAATTTGAGAAGTAGAACTTTAAAATCACCTTGAGTGTACCTTTTTAATGAAGTCTTAATCTACTTTTGGCCTCTAGCTACTTCAAAAGTTGTATTTCTCCCTCATGCATATCATGGAGAAAAAAGGAGACATAAAATACAGATGTATAACTTGAGTTCTTCATTTTGTAGTTTATAAGAGTCCTATTACCGATGCATCTTGTGTATCTTGGAAATAAGGCTAGTGTCAGTCTTGTGTTGATGTGTCATCTAAATTTTTCAGTAGTTATTTGCACCCAGTGGTACCACTTATAAGAGTTTCTCTAGACAAGATCTTCTAAGACCTATCAAATTTGAGGTGATTTTTGTTTCAAAAATTCAAATTTTGTTCAAGTTGTCCTCAGCACATCACTCTAAAACTTTTCATTATATTCCTAATGCTTGTAAAGCAGGTAGGATACAAACTTTGAGGAAGATATGGGAGAGAGGGGTAAACTAGGGAATAAAGCAACCGGATAGTAGCTTTCCATGGTATGCTATCAGCAGTGCATCCTGGGGAGCCCTGTGGAAACGATGGACTGTTAGGAAGTATTCACAGCCAGCCATTTCTGTATGCTCCGTGCTCATCTGAGCACAGATCTGAGTGGAGAGAAAACAAAGACCTCTCTGTGCAACAGTAGTGCTGCTTTTTCTCTAAGGACCAGTGAGTCATGGGACCATTTTTCTAGGCCTGTTCCAGGAGCTAGTGAGGGGAGGGACAACTAGTAAAGCAGAGAATATAGCCAGCAAATAGAACTGACTACGGAATGGCCCTCTGACATACTATTTCCAATTTTTGGGTCAAGCATTCGTACTCCAGTGTCTTTAAGACAGTGTGAAGATATTATGTTTAAGAGAAGCTAGGTACACAGGATTGTAACCTGGGAGGGCTCTCATTTGTGTTGCACATGGATCAAACAGGGCCGGTAGAAGATTGACAACGTGTCTTTTGACTTCTTGGTACCACATAGTATCTCTATCAGTTGTGGTGGGAAGAAATTAAGCAAAAGCATTTAGAATAGTTTAATTGAATCTCAGGGCATTTATTAGATATAAATGCATTCCAGTTTTCACAGGTTGACTGTAATCTTGATTGCTAAGGATATTTCTCTTTAAAGCCAAAATAAGTATTGGAAGTCAGTTGATATTTTACTGTGTCTACATTACGTACAAACATAAAATGCCTATTTGCCCAATTATCCTTGATTGCTTATTTTCCAAATGTCGCACTTGTTTCCCTTGCATAGATGACTAACAGGAGTATGAGTAGAGAAGCAGCAGCTCATGCATTCCCAGATTTGCAGAGCATCCCTGTCAACACAACCTCACACTACAGGGCCCCAGTTGCTGATGAAACAGCCACCATTCCTCTTCCAGTTCATGTGCACAAAGTCTTCATCAGAATTTTCAGAATCCGTCTCTGTCCTTTAAATTCTTTTACCCCTTCGCATTGCCAAGTTCACTAACCAACTAATAAAAACTCCTGGCTTGCCCTGGAAAATGTTTTAATCTTAATACAATCCACCCAAATATTCTGAGCAAGCTGCACTTTCCTATATGATGGTGCATTTTGAATATTAATGAGAAACTGAGAAAGCATGCTTCTTGCTTTCATTCATTCATGAGCGACTGTCATATGTCACACTATGTGCATGCATTAGAGAAGAATCAAACCATGATCATTATCCACATGTTGCTTACAGTCTAAAAGGGAAGAGAAACATTAAAAGTAATATTGCAAGCAGTCAATCAGTTTCAACTAAAATATGTAGGGCCAGGGAGGAGCATAAAGTACAGTAACCTTTGCAACGTAGAATAAAGTCGTAAGTCCCAATATTGCAAATCTGGTCCTCTGCAGGTGGCCTCATGAAATATATTAGGCATCCCTTCTGGGAGTAAGCGTCATTTGTGTCAAATTATTCACCATCATGAAACCTGAAAGCTCTCACTTTTTTTGCTTTTGTGTTTTTGGCAAAAATATTGCCTCTATTTCTACCTTTCAAAACCATCCTCAACCGTGAAAGGCCACAGAAATATAATACCTCCTATGCAGGGCTGTTTTTTGCTTCAGAACCCAAATTGGCTCTGTTCTTTACACTCCCGGAAGTCTCTGTACTTCTATATCTATTAAAGACCCTGACTTTAGTCTTTCAACAAATATTTATTAAGCTCCTAGTCTAGCAAGTTTGCTTCTAGGTGTTTATTTCACAGGGCAAGGATTTAGTCAGTTGAGCATAGATTACTTCTTCCTCATTAAATTGTAAGGTCATTACTCATCTAGCTACCCTTAGTACTTGGAACATAATTGTTGTACAATAAATATCTGCTCAGTTGAATGGAATTTTCTTCATATAGAACATACTAAAAAGGTAATATTTTATAAAAATTATTATCCATCTGAAAGACCATATACCTTTAGATATGTTTTAAAAAATGGTATCTGTTCGCAGTGTACCTAACAATATATCTTATTTAAAATTTCAACAGCGTGAGAAATGGAATAGCATTTCAAAAAAAGAGCTAACTACTTGTCAGTTCCCTCTTAAGAAACATATACTATCTTGTGGTTTTTCAATTTATCACCTGCTGCTCAAAAATGCTTGATTTTACAAACTTATGCCTTACTCCTTTTATATTTACCTAGTCATCATCTTTCTTTATTTTCTTCCAGAAGTAATTTAAACATTTTTTTGTTAAGGTCATAGAGCCTATTGAAATATTTATATGTTTTAAAAATATCAATTAGGTTTACTGCAAATATGCGCTTAATCAATTAGGTTGAACATGTATTTGTACACAGTCCTCAAAACTAACTTGAAAAACTAGTTATTGTAGTGAAATAAATCAATTGTGAGTTTTCTAGATGCAGTCAGAAGGATTCTTTTCATTCATTGTCACAAATATTTTGACTCTCTTACTTTCTTAGTGTTTGTATCTCAAGCAGATTTTCTGCTTCACAGATTTGGATTTATCCTTAAAACCAAGTGGAGAGGTGACCAAGCAGATTGGTGATGCCTTGCCTGTGTCGTGCACAATCTCTGCTAGTAGGAATGCAACTGTGGTTTGGATGAAAGTAAGTAATACTTTTGAGACTATCCTGCTGTTGGGATGATTTCTTTTTAGAGTTCTGTTGCATTCTATATTGTATCCATAAATATAAGTAAGTATATTTATGGATAATGTTTCCACTCAAACTCATTATTTCTTGTTCTGTATCTTTCTCTGCCTCTTACTCTGTCTCTTTGTCTCTGTCACACACACACACACACACACACACACATGACCACACTAATCAAAGCAGATAAAACATTAGAGTTTCTCAATAACACTGTAGCATCCATAAGTGATTTTCTGAAACTTAATTTAATATACTACCGTACAGGGACTTGAAAGTTGGTGGATCGATAGGTAGCAGGGTAGAGAGCCTCTCTGAGAAAAACAACTCAGACACTAGAATTTAACACCATGGAGAAGACCAGATGAAAGGAGAGGGATTCTCACAACCCAGGAAGAAACTGAGGAGGAAAAAAAAAGGAAAAACATGGACAAAAGGCTGGAACCACACATACTCTCACTGGAGCCAGTCCTGCCGTGTGCTGGGTGCACCTTGGTATCAGTTGACTCATGGTCACACTGACATCTCAGTAGCACCAAAATCAGAGATTGGTGAGCCCAATGCCCATGGCAGGAGAATGCGATGCAACAGAGAGCAGAATCAATGTAGAAAGCTGCACTAACCCATAGTGAGTGCTAGAAATTGGATCCCACAGAGGAGGTGACCGGCTGGACGACATATTGGAGTTGGGCAGAACCCTGGAAACACAGTGGCGTTAGCTGCTTCTGGCCCAGAGAAGACTGGTGGAATCTGCTTGGGCTGTGTCACGCCCCTGGTCGGGACCCAATAGCCAGGGATGAAACTGTCCTGAACCTGTGACGTCCCCATGGCACAGTCATGGGATGAAGGCACTCACTGGTTGACTGGCTCAGAGGAGAGGGGCCAGACCACATCGTCCCAGTGCGTACCTCAGAGATCAATAGTAAACTGGAGAGGGTAGCAATCCCCAAGCCAGCATGCTTCAGAAAAACCGTAAGCAATATGGAAAGGGCCTGAGATCTCTACCATACACCTGTTTGAAAGAAACCAGAAACATGACAAGAGAAAGAAACAAGAGAAAGCTTCCAGCTCCTGACCCAGGGAAAATAAGTCCAGGGGAGGTAAATGCAGAAGAGATCGAGGGCAGCAAACATGCAATATTGGACACAACGTCAGCAGACATAAAGAAATACCTTCGTGACCTCATAGACAAACTTAAAACTGAAATTCTAATTCAAGTGAAGCAAGATATAAAAAGATTAATAAAAGAAATGCTAAGCACCTCTCAAGAGGACACAGATGGATGAATGTAGGAACCCAGAAAAAGGAGAGAAACCTTTGATGAAGAATGTAACAAAACCTAGAATACATGAAACAGATCCAAAGAGATTACCAGTAAATTAAAAACTCCATTGAAAGTTGGCAAAATTCCTTGACAGAAACTAAAGTAAGACTTTTAAAACTTGAAGATTTGTTATGTGTGATTGTGAAAAGAAAGATCTCTTAAAAATAACAAGAAACCAGGCAGTAACAATACAAAGGCTAGAAGATGACAAGAGGATCTATAACTTAAGAATAAAAACATGAGTGAAGAAGCAGGGGTAAACACAAATAAATTACACAGGATATTCACAGAAATAATTAAGGAAAACTTCCCAAGCATAGGAAAGGGGAATGATATTCAAATATCTGAGGCATACAGAACTCCAGCCAGCTACAACCAAAATAGATCTATAGCTAGACATATAATAATCAACATCTCAGAAATTCATCACAAGAACAGAATATTAAAAGCAGTCAGAGAAAAGAAACATCACCTATAAAGGAAAAGCCATCAAAATCATGACAGACTTCTTGACAAAAACTATCAAATCAAGAAGAGCTTGCAGCAAAGTATTCCAAGCCCTGAAGAAGATAGCCTCCAATCCAGATTGATGTACTCTGCAAAACTGTCTCTCAAAATTAATAGAGAAACAAGATGTTCCATGACAAAGAAGAACTGTGGGAGTTTGTGACCATCAATCCAACCCTACAAAAAATACTGAAGGACATTCAAGAGAGAGAGAAAAAAATAACCAGGATTTCAGCAACAGTGGCAGAGAGGCCTCAGTGAACGGGGCAGATAGTGGAATGAAGGAGAAAAGTAGACAGCCAACATCAGAAAAATAGCAAAGCAGAAATGAGGCAGAGAAGACTGGCTATAATCTCTAACACAGATGGCCTTGATACACTAACAAAAAGAAACACAGCAGAGTGGATCAGGAGATAGGGTACATCGAGATGCTGTAAATAGAAAATACAATCTACCTGAAAGAGAGTTAATGAACCGAAAGTCAAAGATGAGAAAACGATGCTCTATGTGACAGGGAAACAGAGAGAAATAGGAACAACTCATCCAGCAGCTGCATATAGGTTGGAAAGTCATGACACTTTTGTGCAGTGGAGAACTACTCAGCTATAAGGAAGGAAAACCTTGAGTAGATAAAGGAATACAGCTAAAGAACAAGCTGAGGTCTAAAAAGGTTCAGAACCACTTAGGTAGATGGCAGGTTGCCCCCCTAATCTAAAAACTAAAGGAGTTAGTGGGTCCCAAAATATACAAAGCACCCTGAGAAAGTGGAAGGGGAGGAATTGTCTAAAAAGGGAGGCAGAGGACATCGTTAATAGTGTATCAGGATTTAAAAGCCACAGTAGTCTTATCGCTATGTTTAGTTTGATTTTATCCTGTTCCAGTCTGTGTACTCATACTAGATTTGAGAGCACAGACAGCTATCCCCAAAATAGCAGGATACACTATGATAACTATCCTTAATTTCCTATTAACTTAACTGAAGCCCTGCATTACTTGCACTGTCTTACTATGTCTGATCTTATTTGAATCTGGTTTGCTAGATCACTCTTTTGTCTTGACTGATTTTATTCAAATTTGGTATGCTTGATAGTATCAAGTCTAAGAGTAGAGACAACTACTCTGAAGATGACAAGATGCAATAGGATACCCATTCCAGTTTGATTATTAACTGCTTTTGAAGTCCTATAATGCCTCCAGTGTTTTGTTTTTATTATGTAGTGCTATGTTCATTATATTATGCCTGATGATATAGACAATTCTATTGAAAATAACAAGAGACATCATAGTAAGTACTGTAGATCACCCAGTATTGTAGTTTTGTCTGTCTTTATATGTCTTTTTCGTTTCGTGCTTTTCTAGGAATTTTTTCTGTGGTCTTGTTTTGATTTGTTTTTCCCTCTAATACAGAAAGGATAGATATACATGTAGAGATTCATGCATGTGTAGAACTTTACAAGAGTAGATTATATAATGCATGATGTAATGAACAGATACTCTGAAGGAAATCAGACACTAAAATACCCAGTGGTAATTCTATAGTGTCATGATATAAAATATAGCAATACTATTCTTATCTGTCCAGAGTGGTATTAGTCTGTTAGGTTGTGTTTAATTTCAACATACGTAAAGATATGGACAGCTATTTTGAAAAGAACGAGAGACATTATGACAGCCACTATTGACTTCCCTATTGTCTAGTCTTGAAGACCTAAAATGCTTTCATCATCCTGTTCTGATAAGTTTAGTACTGTTTTTGGTATGAATTCACTGTGTGTAAAGATATACACAACTATTTGGAAGAAAATAAAAGACGATATGATAGACAGTGAAGATCTCCAGTGGTCTTGCTTTGAAATCTGTATTTCATAAATTGCTCTCTTATGATGTTTTGTTATGTTTTATTTTACCCTCTTAAAATAAAAAAATGTACTACCTTAGATATTTATACTAAGTAATAATATGCATGCATGTATGCATTAATACAAAAATATATTTACATACTCTATGACTTGTTTATAGTGTTTTAACCCACATTGTTCTCACATGAAGCCTGTAGTATATTTATTCTTTCCCCCTGTTATTTATAAAGAAATGGAGGAAAGAAAAAACAAAGGCTCATAGGTATGAGAGTAGAGACTCAAGGTCAGATCTTCTTGAGGTGGTGTGGTGTGGTCATACACTGTTTGCCTCTGTGGCATTTAAAATTACCCTTAAGTTTTTGAACACAGGCTGTCATGGATTAACATATTCTTTTTTTTAAACTTTTTTTTTAATCTTTTTATTGGTACTAAGGATCAAACTCATGACCGCCTGCTTGCAAGGCAGGTGCTTATGTCGCTGAGCTAAATCCCCAGCCCCCAGTTAGCATCTTCTTAAAGTCAGAAATCATTTTTCATCCCAGTGATGCAATGGAACATACTAAGACTTTAGTTTTCCTGAATGAGGCCTGATATTCACATAATTGCTTGAAATGAAGATCATGACCATTACGTGGGAGCCTAATCACTGCTGCTGTTTTAGGATGAAGAAATAAGATTAATATTTTGTAATATGTGAAAAAGTTATCACTAAAGGAAAGGAGTGTGACTATGGTTCCTCCACTTAAATCTTTGGCTAGTAAAGCAATATATCTAGTGTATTTGTACCAGAGGACAGACTGTGACAGGAGCATTTACCAGGAAATATACCATTTGAATGGTGGCTCACAAGAATTATCTTTACAAAATCATAGATGAACTTACTGCTAGTGTTTATTCTTAATGAAAATATAATTTATTTTATGTTACTTTATTGTCTGTTTCTGATCTCTTTTAATACCAAATTCACTGTTACTTACTCTCTCAGATTTCAATTGCTTATTTCACTATTTTAGTCACAATTTCTTGTTCAGTCAGATAATTAAGGTGTCACTCTGTGGTTTTCATGTTTAATATATTTTCAGCAGTTAACATTCACAAAGTTAGACAGGTTCTAAGTAAATAATTGAATGAATACTCCTAGCATTTTTATTTAGTACAAATTTATTGTACCAAAACAAGTGTGTCAACTGCAGTCACCATTGTGAATCAAAATTAAATATTATATTTCTTTTTCATAGATATTAGAGGATTTCTTATTAAAAATTCTAATTAGAAACACTATAGTTCTGTAATAAATCCCCTTAGTTGGTAATGGTATCTGATAAAATTATTGTCAGATATTTATACCTATCACTGACTAGGTATCACAAATCCATATATGACAATCTTATATCTACTAAAATTAAAACATGTCCTCAAATACATCGCATTATTTATATAATTCAGTCTTCCCAATAATTCAGTAAGGTAAAAAAAAAAAAAAAAAAACATAACCCTGCTTCACAAGTAAAGGAAACTGAGTCTCAGAATTTTGTGAACCTGTTCCAATTATCAATTACATAACGGAAGAGTCTGAAATATGGCTCTGGCACGTTTGACTCCAAAACTACAGAGGAAAAAGGAAATCTATTTTAAAAGCATCTGAAGTTGAGAAGAATGCTTGTGTTTTCATTAGACTTAGGAGACTAGTTTCCAGCTAATTTATTATATAATAAGTAAACTTAATGTTCTGCATGTGCTGTGTGTAGTCATTTACTTTTCATTTCATCAGGACAACATCAGGCTTCGGTCAAGCCCGTCATTTTCGAGTCTTCATTATCAGGATGCTGGAAATTACGTTTGTGAAACTGCCCTGCAAGAGGTTGAAGGACTAAAGAAAAGAGACTCGCTGACTCTTATTGTAGAAGGTAGTAAAAGACCTTTGCGCCAATTCAAGCTTTTCCTTAAAAATTTGATACCTGTTCCTTTTAATGATCGTACTTTACTCTCATATTTTAATTGTAATATTTCAGGAAAACCTCAAATCAAAATGACAAAGAAAACTGATCCCAGTGGACTGTCTAAAACAATAATCTGCCACGTGGAAGGTTTCCCAAAGCCAGCGATACAGTGGACAATTACTGGCAGTGGAAGCGTCATAAACCAAGCAAGTATTTATCTCCTTGATGCATGCTGCACTTGGTCCAGTACGGAATTTTAGTTAGATGCAAACAGTGTAAGCTGTTTTGTTACCACATGAAATTTGCAGCTCACCCTCTGAGACAGTACTTGCTAACTTCTTAATTTGCATAAAAGGAGAATATGGGTCACAGAGAAATTTAAATCTCAGGGCCACAGAGACTAGAGGAAGCCTTACATGGTGGTCAGACTCTGTTTTTAAAAGAATTCAAATCATTAATTCCTGAAACTTGAGTGATTAAAAAAGTAAGCTATATACTTTTCTGAATTATAAACTGACACACCTGAGTATAAGTAGCCTCCATTACTTTGCTTATTTGTGTATGTTAAGGGAGTTTTCTTCTTTAAACTGGGCCCTGGAAGGTAACAAGAAGTACAACTCCAGCTTGTGACATATGGTATCATTTGCCTGTGTGAGAGCTAGGGCAAAATAAAACAAGAAACGTACAGCCTCTAGGTTGTGCCCTCTGGACAAGAGAGCATAAACCTAACCTTAATCTTTGTAGCCTTTGTGGGATATCTGAGTAATAGGAAAGGCCTAAGAATGTATGAACACTACTGATAATTTTCTCTGAATACTATCTTTGACTGCCCCCAAGATAAAATCTGTCCCGTCACTATGGGATGTGGGTTCAGAAATGTGACCCCATTAAATCGCCAGTCTCCTTGGATTACCACCATGCTTGTTACTTCCATTTTGTCTACAGAAGTATTCGTGCCTCCTCATCTTAGTAGAATCAGTTAGGATTCTTTAAGACCACCCAGATGCAATTTGATTCTTTGAATCTCCTGTCCTACCTTCTTCCCAGGTTTGGACCCACTTAAAATTTGAGAAGACTGTTATAAAACAAACTGCTGCACTTTCACTTAAAAATAATAATCCCCACTTTGTTTCTGTCTTGGGAAGTTGAGCCACTGGTTCAATTCATGTGATACAATTTTTGCAGAGCAAGGTAGATTTTGGGCATTTACATATATAGTTGCCTGAGTACAGGTGTAAAAACGCCCAAAAGGAGTGGTCACACTTGAAGCAAATAGCTTGGGATTTGGTTAGGTATAGGGGAGACACATGTGAGAGGCCCCGCCAGGGGAGGGAGGACAGAGAAGCAAGCCATCGCTTATGCCTGTGGAAATGCAGTTTTTCTTGATTCACAATAAAGGCCTAAATTTCTAACAATGTTCAGTCCTGTTTTTAGCATCAAACACTGCAAGAGTAGGAAAGGTTTCTTTTTGCTTCTATTCGTTTTGTTCCCTAGTTCAATCAAGTGACAAGTACAGCGGAGAAGAATCTTTAGGTAATGCAGGTGTAGAAATAGAAAAAACTGCACAAAATAAATACCTGATGGTATTCCAGTCCTGTCCTCAAGGCACTTAAAGGTAGTTAAAAAGAGAACAAACAGGGAACAAAATAGGACATGATGTGAACAAAATGACCGAGAAAAGAGTGCAAGTGCCTGTGTCCTTAATCATGTTGGGCTTAATAATCAAACCCTGGGGATGAGTATAAAGTGGATAGCTCCTTACACTAGAAGGAATTAAAAACAATGATTGCTCTCATTCACAACTTAAAAAACTAAAATGTATCCAACAGTCCATTTTTAGCTAAATTCTCTCTATTCTGCACAGCAAACTTTAGGGGAAAACTGTTATTCATGATGAACATTCATATGCTCTAAAATTATCTAAGATAAGGGAATTAATCCCTGCAGTGAAAAGCAGTGACCAAATCCACAAACAATTAAATTTAAAAGCATGCTGAATGAACACCAGTAAGTAGATAACTACTTTAAAAACTAATGTCACCTTGTCAAAGCTATGCATCCATTGAAAAAGAAAAGTGATGATTATAATTCACAATGAAGAAATCAACAGAGATCTCACTGTGGCTTCACTAAATGTTTCCTGCCTGCTGTGGCATTAGCAGTGGGCTTTGTCCATATCATACATGTACACTGGATGCAGACAGCCCTGCGAGGCACAATGTTTGCACCTGTCCTCCTCCGCCGCCGCTGCTCTTTTCCTGGCTTTGCAAACACTGTTCCATTCTAAACTCACCTTCCTTCTTTCCTTCCAGACAGAGGAGTCTCCGTATATCAATGGCAGGTATTATAGTAAAATTATCATTTCCCCTGAGGAGAATGTTACCTTAACTTGCACAGCAGAAAACCAGCTGGAAAGAACAGTAAACTCCTTGAATGTGTCTGCTAGTGAGTATTTCATTTCTGGCATTAAAAAGTAAGAAAATTTGAAGTTATTCTTCATTAGTTTAAAATCTTCAATTCCATCTTCCTGTACTGCATTATGGTAAGTTTTATTTATTTATTTTGCATTTGGTATCATCACCATAAGATTTTCTTTCTTTTTTTCTTGGTTTTCATTCTTACAGTATTCTTGTCTTAACAGTTAAATCATTTCATGTTTTATGGGTTAGAGACTTTGTCCTATACAGGAATATTTCCCAAGAGCAACAGAAAGTAAAAAATGAGTTGTTCTTATTTAATCCATCTTTTGGTTTAGGGTAGAAATAATTCAAAAATTACCTTTGAACTTTTTGTAGAAATTTTAAATTTGATAAGTTTTTATCTTATTTTGCATTCCATTTCTTTGTGGTATTTATCATCACCTTATGTAGAAATACCACAAGCTTAATGTAATTCAGTAAATAGTAACAGAACTAATATCAGAATTCATAAAACCTAGTCTCAATAATTGTTTTTCATATCAGATTTGAGTCATAACCCAAATCAGATAAGAGAAATTATCTCAGAGAAATGGAAAAATCTGTCAGTGCTGAAATCAGGATAATACACAAATAGCAATATTAGATTTTTCTAAAAACAATTATGACATAATGCGAAATTGTCCGCTGTCTTCTATTCTGTTATTATTCCCACTGTATGACAACTTTAAGTGAGGAATGGCCTACAGTGAGATTCAGTTTTGGACAGGATCTTAACTGATCTGCCCAATTTTATTCTCCTGTCAGTTGGAATCCTGCGTGTGACACTAACAGATGATGGAGATAATAGCTAGGAATTAGTGGGAGCTAGCAGAAAATAATTGCATACAGATAATGGTCCCTAACAGATTATGACTTGAATATAAAGGCCTGAGGAGGAGAAAAGGCCTGGGCCGGAGAAAAGATCTAAACAAATTTAATTCTAAGATAGGGACATTGGCTTCTCAGAATGCAATTCCACTAGTATTGATTTGAAAGGGATCCTCTCCTTCCTTCCTGAACACAAGTCACTTTTTTTCCCTCTAACTCATCAAATGAGCTGCTTCAGTTTTCTAAACCATGAATTGGTTTCTTTGATCGACACACAATTATTTTCAAATACAGCGAACACCTCTGTGATTCTGTAGTATGTCTGAGGAGGGCCCTGGGAGCCTGCATTTTACCAGTCAATGTAGGCAGGCCCGTGTTCTCTGGGAAATAGTTTTACAGTTGGATATTGTGTCAGTGTTTACTAAAGTAACAGATACAACACAAGATATATAAATACCTAAGAGTTTACAAGATTGGCTTACAGTGGCCGCCCAGTCAGGTGAGGAGGAGTGCAGAGGGTGTCTGCACCCTGGAGACTAAAGGATTGAGTCCGAGGTCTGAAGCTCACTGCTGTGTCCATGCAAGTCCTTGTCAGGAGGCCTGTGGGTCTGTGACAGAAGCTGAAGAGTCTGTGGCAGAAGCTGAAGGATCTGCACCAGAAGCCAAAGAGACTCCTCTAGAAGTCAGAAGGTGATATTTAAGGTGAAGCTGAAGGCTGCAGCTCCCTGAAGAAATAGAAGCAGATCCTTATTTCCTTTTTTATGCCATCCAGGCAATGAGGAGCTGCCCCAGGGGGCCTTCCACATCCTAGGGTGTGGCACCGCTGAGCCAGTTTAGTTAAGCTTCTCTTTTCTCAAATTGACACAATCAACCAACCATCACAAATACTGTAGTTGGATATAGTTGAATAAACCCCCACAGAAACAGCCATGATTCTAAATTTGACCAGAGCATGGCATTGTCAGAATTATCTGGAGGAGTTTGGCAAAAATCACATACAGTATATGCTTCTTAATCTCTAGGGCATCCCCAGTTTTGAAATCATCTCTGGTGGTAAGTCCTTGACACTAGAGGATAATAATTCTGCTGTGTGGAGCTTGGGAAATTCAAAAAAAGTAGAAATGCAACATTGTAGATTTCCCTGTCACCAATATGTTTTTCCTAAGAAAGAACTTGAAAAGATAGTAGATAGTGAATAATTCAAATGGATTTCAGATTAGCTGTACAGCTTTTCAGTTGTGAAATTTGCCATGGTAGATTAATAACTTGTATTTTAACTGCTCTCCTTTACTTAAGACTAATTTCTTTGTAGAGAAGTTCATGCTCTATTAAGTATTATATTTTTTACCCTGAGCTGTAGAATAGACATTTTTATCTGATTGTTATTACATCATACTATAATGGTAAAGGTGACTTTCATATATCAACAAATTTTGTACTTAATTTCATATTAACATTTTTCATTTCAGTAAGTATTCCAGAACACGATGAGGCAGACGAGATAAGTGGTAGGTACTATGCTGCCCACTTCCTTCCTTGACTGTCAGCTCCAAATTTATGAAGTGTCCTCATATAAGTAATTTTTTAGCAGTCCACAATTTTGACTTGAATTAAAATTCAAAATGAGACAAGATAGTAAGAATGCTAAAATTTTATACTTTAAAATCACAAGTTTGCATGTAAATCATAATAGTGAGCCACAGCCATTCTTAATATGAAGTAGTAACTAGACTATCTTTTTCAAAAAAAAAAAAAAAAAACCCTTAGCACTGTCTGTAATTGCATGGACTTTTCTTCTTTGTTGTAGATGAGAACAGAGAGAAGGTGAATGACCAGGCGAAGCTAATTGTGGGAATCGTCGTTGGTCTCCTCCTCGCTGCCCTTGTAGCTGGTATTGTCTACTGGTTGTACATGAAGAAATCAAAGTAAGTTGTAGAAGAAAGATCACTGTGCATTGACTGTCGCTGGCAGAAAACACAAGCACTATAATCTGAATCCAGCTGTACGTACAATTCCTATAACATCCCCTAAATCAGGTTAGGGTTAGGGTTAGCCTTATTTCGCCTCAGTTCCCAGTGACAACGTTGCTACTGTGAGGGACGTGGCCTTGTTTTTACCTGTGTCCCCTTGTTTTTGTTGGTGAATATTCTGAACTCAATTATTTATTCTTCAAACATACATTGAGCTCTTGTGTTCTCATAGCACATCTGTGAATTAGATACACTAGTGTTAGTCTACTTTACATTTTTAAAATCTAAGAAAATAGTAAAACAACTTTCTTAAGGTTAAAAGATTGTGAGGAACAGAATTGATAGTAATTTAAGGGGATTTTTTTAAAGGTCAAGTATTCTAAATTTTTTGTTGAAGTGGGTGAGCATTTATTAAAAGAAGCTAAGATAATGCAGAGACTGCCAAGTGTCTTTGCAGTGACAAATCTACAAATCTAACCAGAATGAAACTGTTGATGAGGTGGAGGATCTGGTTTTTTTGGAGCTCACTATTCTAGTTAGTTGACTGTACCCCATATAAGAATCTAAGAGGAAAAAGTTATTAGTTTTGCTTTAGTTTTTAAAAATTGATTAACAAAATACTAAGACTCCTTTAAACTATTTAGGTGTTAGATAAGCCATATAGATATTAGGTAAAAATGATTAGAAATAAAAAATATCACACATACTATGAACCATAAAAATTATCTAATAGCCAGGGATATAGCAGCACAACCCCTGCCTGGCAAGCGCAAGGTCATTAAGTTTGATCCCCAGAACCCCCCCCCCAAAATATCATCTAATAGCGTAAAATGAAAATCTAATTTAACCATGATGATTCTTAGTGTTTACATGGTTTATATTTACATGGTTTATATTCCTTCTCAACCTCAATTCTGATACGATTGAACAAGGATATAGTTCCAGCATATGTGTTTTTAAAAGTTCTATTGGTGATTGTGTGGCTTACTCCTGGTTTTACACATGAATTTTCTTAAAAATGAAGTAATTAATTTTCACAGTGGGATATACACGTGTATATGACTTTACCATAATTTTATATATTTATGGCTGATAGAATCTCTCGAACGTTTTAAAACTACCAAAAAGAAAGCAGACTCAAATCTGAGTACACAGTCTCAAAGATAACAATTCCAATGAAGCAGTGTTTAAATGGAGCCAACACCTAAGGGAAGCAATAGCTCAGAATTTAAATAGAAACGTACATTGAGCTCTTGTGTTCTCATAGCACATCTGTGAATTAGATACACTAGTGTTAGTCTACTTTACATTTTTAAAATCTAAGAAAATAGTAAAACAACTTTCTTAAGGTTAAAAGATTGTGAGGAACAGAATTGATAGTAATTTAAGGGGATGCTATTTTAGAATTCTTGTGTTCATTTACTAGGGCTCATTTTCTCTCTGACAATGCTTTACTTTTTTCCTTCTATTATAAGGCAAAAAGGTAGACAGTTCTGTAGTGCGGCCACTGATGTACAGGACGTCCATTCCCACAAGGGGGCGTAGTCACACTTGACCTCCGTGCTTCAGTCTTCAGTGTTTAACAGTTCTCTCCAATACCTATTGCATTAGGGGCCTCCAGAGAATCACACATGAGATGTATAGGTGCGCGCACATACATAAAAATTTAACATAAGGAAATGCCTCTCACATTATGGAGACAGGAGAGTCTCAAGCTCTTCAGGAAAGCTGATGTGTGATTCCAGTCTATGTCCATAGTATAAATCATATCTGAAATCCAGCAGGAGTCTTGGGAGAACCAGTGTTTCAATCTGAATCTACAGATTAGAAAAACAAATTAGTAAAAAACCCTCCAGATCGAGTGGTGAGGCAGGAAAAGTTCTCTTCTTGCTAAACCTTTTCATCTTTTTCCAACTAACTGTTGATTGAATGGGCCCACTGCCAAAAGGCAAGGAGGTGTGTCTACCTATTCAAATGTTTGTCTTACCCGAAATACCTAAATAGACATAACAAGAACAGTGCTTGGCCACATATCTGGGTACCACATGTCCCATTCAAGTTGGCATAAAATTAACCGTTCATTATATCTGGTAACACGTGTTCTTGTTCTCAATATACATGTAAGCCTACAAATATAACCATGTAAGACTTTATTCTTGGTGTTAATTGAAAATTTAGATGGCTGCCCCCAGTGATGGCAAATGATACAGACCCACAGTGGCATGAGTGCCAAGGTTTGCCCCCACTGACTTCCACGTTTAAGTGAAAGAAAATGCAAATAGTTGTCAAGAGGAATTGTATACCTATAGAAATTCTCCCTTTCTGTGTACAAATTTCTTGAATCATACCCTCTTTTTATAATCCATGATAAGCCACAAATCTAATAGCTTGAACTCTAAGATATTTTCATTTTACTAGAGTTTGTAATACTTTCCAAAATCATTTAGCTTCTAAAAAAATTAAAAATATAAAATTTCTCTGTATACTGAAAAATCAGCTCAAAATATTGTGGTCTTCTGCACAATAGCCAAATGAATGTCAGTGGAGCACCTCCAGCATCTTAATCATAATATCCAAATGGACAGTATCTCATCATTTGTCCTTTTTTGAATAAGATAAGTATATTTGTATATGTTTGTGTGAGCACATGTGTGTTACTTCATTAGTTATTACCATATGGTGACCCAAATTGCAATTACGGGTAAGTAAATATTGGACACTTACCTTCATAAAGTCATTAGGTTAAGGCTCCAAGCATTTCCATTTGATTTTCTCATTAAGTGTAACTTTTGCCATCTGCTATAAGCACCAATCTAAATGACTGTGATTTAATTGAAAAGTTCACCCGAAATATGATAGTGTCAACATTCTTGGTGATCAAAGTAATAAATTACAGTTCTTATCCCAAGCACCAAAGAGTTTTCATTAAAAATATGTAGACTACTTCACTTTTGCTGTGTGCTTTGCACTCCTGATTAGTTGTTCTTTGCCTTTATTCTCTGAAATAAGCTGTCATTTTTGTAGTATGAGTTACTGTTCTTAGCCCTGTACGCCACTTGGTCAGAGTAAGTACAAATCCAATGTATGAGTTTTCAAGATGAAAATATCTGCGGCCACGTTATGAAACAGCTAGCGAAGCAGTGAAATTTTAGCAACACTTAGGGAAAGTTCTTCCCTTTGGTAATTTTTAAAGTTATTGAGAAATGAGAAACAATTTTTTACTCCCAAATACTGTGTAAAAATAGATTTGTTAACAGACGTAGTGACACTCAGCTAGAGTGCACTCCATTCCACAGCTGGGCGATCTATACATTTCAGAGGAGAACTCAGCAATTCTGTTCTGTGATAAGGTACATTCATCAAAGAACGAGGACTCATGACTTTTGTTGCTTTAATCTGTGTAAACTGTCAGAGCTTTTTAAAGCTAGAGAAAGTTTTGATAGTGATCAGATACACTAATTATTTCCCATGTCTGTTGGATGTTAACTGACAGTGTCACACAAAACACATTCATTGTCTGAGTTTAGTCTAGTGTATAAATAGGTAGAAGAGCACAAGGGAATGAGAGATTATTCAGTGATTATTTTTTCTGTTTTTTCTTTCTATTTCTATTTATTCTCTCCTATAAGCATCATTTTCAGCTCTTAAAAATCTAAATGTTTCTCTTTGAGATACAAATCCTCACTACCTAATTTGTATAAGAACTAATGAAAAATTAAGAGCTCAGAATAAAGGGAAAATTAAAAGGCAACATGATGTAGCAATGAACTTCTTCAGTTTATTTAAATCATAATTTTCACATTGATTGTGCTGAAGAGACATTTAAATCCGTGTTTGTTATCACTCACCCGGGATCAAGCATAAATCAGACATGTATGATCTGGCAAAACGCATTGTGTGAGCTTTGGAAACTTACCAACAGATTTACCTTTATAAATTTAGAGCAGAGTAGTGGTTTCATGAAGATTATTGTGTAATTTAAAGACAATTCAGAAGTCTAAAAATCACAAATATCATAAAAGAATTTTGCTTCATATACTGCTATATTATTCCAGTAACCTTCCAGGAAAAATTAGCTGAAGAGTTAACAAGGACTTCCTATAACATTGAAACCGCAGGAAAGTTTATTTTCAGCCTTTGCAAAACCCTTATCAGTGTATCTAGGGCAGGATCTTGCAAAAAGGTTGATTTTATTAGAAGTTTATCTTTGAGTCAATATTTTAAAATCAAATTAATGTCCTCATGGAGCGGGGAGGAACTCCTCAATGAAAAATTGGAAGATATTGCTTGAGGACCATGTATAGCAAATTTTTAATCATGTATCACTACATGAGCATCATTTTTTTCTTTTTCTTTCATTTTCCTTGAGTACTTTTGCTGAAATTTTCAATAAGACAGTTGCAGTTAATGTCATTTCATAGCTTCTATATATCAGGATTAACCTGCCCGGGCTGTCATTAGTCTTTCATCCAAATTTTATTTATTTTCAAATACATTTTTCTGTCTTACTAGAACTTCTTAGGACTTAAAATTTCAGCTCTGAATTTGATTATTTGCTGCCATTTAATATAATATTATAGTCCTAGGAAGGCTTATGATCATAGACAGGGCTGGGGTAGTCTCCCCACTTGTATTAGAACAGGCTAATCCATGAAGTTTTAGCTTCTTTCTTTCTCTGTATTCACAGTCTGTCAGGCAGCTAGCAGAGGGAAGGAAAGAAAATGATTCATTATTCTATCAAACTATAAATAATAGAGGGGAAATAGGATAATGTGCAAGCACCAGGTTCCTTGTGGTTAAGGACAGGATCATTGCCCTCTAAAAGGGGAGGGTCATCCATGGCCTGTGTGGTCCTACTGCATGTGACCTGAGAGGTTTCAGAGATAAGAAAGAGTTTTTATCAAAATATAATGTTTTTATTTTTAAAAACTACTTTTACGTACCATTTTGAAGGT